TCCTTTGAACACGCTGTCTCGTGGAATCACAGAGTGCCAGATAGGGGAGCCGTAAGTCAGTATGGGCCTTACGGTGGAGGTCTGGAGGAGAGGTTTGTTTTGAGGTAACAGAAATAAATTTGGCACCAGAAGAGAGTACAGCTTTCTTCGGGCCATGAAAATCTTTTGTATAGCATAGTCAACATGCTTGTCGAAATGGAGTCGGGCGTCTAGTTTAAATCCCAGGTATTTTACCTCTTTTACTGGCTTGATTGGATGGGACTAGATGAGTGGCGATAGGATTTTATTGTTAGTGAAATTTGCGCGAGAAGATAATTAGTTCAGTCTTCCTGGGATTCACTTTTTTCCACTCACAAGTTTCCATTTGTCGCAAGACGGCGTCAATAAACTCAGGTGATGTGCAATGCGGGATTTCGCAGCCTGAGCATAGAAAGACGAAGCGTAAATAACGGTATTATCAGCGTATTGTGCTATTTTTGTAGTGGGAAGTTTTGGAATGTCTACTGTATATAGTGTATACAACAAGTGCGAAATCACGGTACCTTGTGGCACTCCTGCCGCGATGCGGCTTTCGGCAGAAGTTTAATTCTCCACTTTCACCTGAATGGTACAGTTTTTTAGGTAAGACGCTATTAGGGAAACTAGGTAAAGTGGCAGTGAATGTACGGCAAACAACTTGTACAGCAGGCCATTTGTGCCAAACTGTGTCAAAGGCCCTTTCCCTATGCAGAAGCAGCATTACCGTACTTTGAAGTTAAATGCTGCATGGGCATCCCTTGCGATCCAGCACTATGCAGCGTTGTGTTGTGTCTCGGTTGAAAGCCAAACTGCTCGTCCTGGAGTAAACTTCGAAGCTCGGCTGCTGCTTGTAGTCTCGATAGGATAATCTTTTCGCTTAATTTTCCGAGGGAGTTTAGGAGGGAAATTAAATAAGAGGCGGGATCAGTCGGGTTTTTGCCCGGCTTTAAGATAGGAATTACTACAGCGTTTTTCCAGTCCTGTGGGAAATGCTGCAATTTAAAGACTGCGTTGACTTTTTGTACTATAAGCACAATAGTTTTCCGCGGTAAGTTTTAGAGGAGTAAATAAGGGATGCCGTCTGGCCCGGGGGCTTTTCGGCTAGGGAGTCGCCGGAGACACGATTGTATCTCCGACGGCGTTGTTAAATAGGAATGCAAAATCGAGGGTGGTATAGGATACTTCCGTTCTACAAAAACAGCGGTCTGTCTTTCTATTTCGTTATCCTGAAAGGCTGGTTGGACTTTGTGTACTTTCGCCAAAAAGTC